CTGCTTTTCTAGAAGGCCTTTCTTAACCAGGGCATCGTGCAGATGGCAACATGGCCGTGCCCGACTGTAATTGTCTGCTCCCTAGGCGAAGACTAACGGGGCTTTCACTGAACACTCATAGGAGATGTTCCGTTTATCGCTACTATTAAGAGAAATGTTCCTTCGGTGTTCTTGATCCTGTACGAGTTAACGGCTATGCGAATACCCTGCATCTGGAAAAGGACCGCTTTCTATGTTTGATGTGACAAATGTCATTAAATTCTTCCCAGAGCATGGCAGCAATCTTACAAAGGAAGGCTGAACAATTTGATCTTCGTGTAAAACTTGGCAAATTAAGGATTTAAGAAGGTCGTAGATTTCTAGCCTTTATTGGTCTTAACGTGGGCCAAGAAAAATCTTTTCACACTGGCTTTTAAGAATTGGGCAAGACTGAGAATAAAATAGGTTCAGCATGACAATGTAACTGACCCAAGAGATTTTTCTGTTTTTTAATAGCGATTCCCTTTCAGTACAGATAGTCTTTGATGATACCATCTAAGCTACTTGGGGTTGGAGGGAGCTGTTTGCATGCTTTTTTTGAATTTAGGAGTTAATGTTTTTTCTGAAACTCTCTTGCTGGGGTACTTCATGCATCTCCTTCCCTCAGCATTTTATTTGGAATTTGCTCAGACTACAGGACAGCGCTGAAGGTGAGGGTGATAACGTATCACAGGCACGTGCTGTTATTTGTACATCGTCAAGTCCTTAACAGAGGTAACAAATCAGTAGTGGAACACACTACTAGATCTCCCTCCAGGCTTTCATCTGCACAATAAACTTCCTCGTTGAATATAACAGTAGGTCACTGTTAAAGACTAAGAATCTCTTTCAAAGTAACTGTTAGTTTTATCACTAAAATTGTCACTTAATACACTGCTGGGATTTCTTAAGGGGAAAAAAAAGCTGAATCAGGTTTTAAGTAGAATGGGCCTCTGTTCAAGATGAGACGAAGGGTATTTCACTAGGACAGTGGACAACTTTGGTTTCACTGTTGGGAAGAAGGTCATCTACTAATTGCGTGTTATCCCTGAATGAGTCATTTTAGCAGATTACCAAAAAAACCTGTTTTCTTCTCAGCTTTTGGTTGCTAGTGCCTGTGTTTTCAGATGGTTTCACTGACATCTGGCAGCAGGTTAAACGCTGACTCATATTCTGTCTTCTGTTAGTCAAAAAATGTCAGTAAAAATGGCTTTCATCATCAAAGAAAATTTTCATTTGTTTGAACCTTTCCAGTGATTTTCACACAAGAAAACGGAATATTCCTGGCTTAGATAGTCAGTTACCATTTTCCGAGACACTTTTCAGCACTCCGGTTTATTTTTTTCTGATAAAATAAAACTAATTTCCCTTTGTGATCAGTGCTCTTACAAAGAGAACAGAAATTCCCCATCTTACATATGCTTGACCTGGGCTTTGGCAGCCAGCGTATCTTACTCTTCCTGAAGAACAGGCAGAATGGAGTGCGGGTGGAGCAAGGTCTCCGCCACTCAGACTCGTTTACTGGTCAGAGCACTGGAGCTGCAAAGAAGCCTATTTATGCATCCCAGTGACTAAAACGTGCTCTCTGCTGCAAGAGGGACTAGACATACTTCAGACTTTTTTCCTTAGGAGCCAATGTGACTCATCTCTGCAGCGTAAGCGCCGTCATGTGCTCAGAGTTGTGCACAAAGACAGTGCCTAAGACAGGAGCAAGGAACAACCCCAAATTTAGTTCAGCAGTCAGAGTCCAAGAACAGGCCAGCGTCAGTCAGTCCGAGTTTTGGGTTTTGATTTTGTGCTTTGACCAATTGTACACTACTAACAAAAAGGGGAGGTTTCCAAAACGGAAGCTACAGCTACCCTACCTTTTGACTCCTTTCCTCCCCCAAAAAGGACAAAATTCTCACAAAGGTGTTGTCCACTTTGTTAATCGGCCATAATAAAGGAACGGTCGGTCAGAAGAGACCGTTACTGTCCTATTCTGTGACCCGCATAACCTCCGTCTGGCTCTACCAAATTGTGGATGGACGTCTTACAGACAAACGTGAAGGCTTGATTTGAAAAACTGTCACATAGCATATAATTACCCCTTTTTGAAAGTGTAATTGCTGTAAGAGTACCTTGAGTGACCCATAAAGATGATGAAAAATAAAGCAAATTGAATACTCTGAAATTAAGATAATTCCCCCCCTTGTTTACAGTACAAAAATTTTATTTTTTTGTTAGGATAATTTAAAGTTTAAAACTGAAGTAGACATATTCATTTTACAAACAAGATATTCTTCCATAAGTAGGACCATTAAAAACAGTAAACAAAAAAAGCTATCTTTACAAAAGCTCTGTGCATAGCAACTTCATACCGTATATAACTGACAAAGCAAAAACCCAAAAAAACAACCAGCCAACCCCAAACCAACCCCAAAACTATACAGTAGAGAGAAATGAGGCCTTAATTTACAGAAGGGAGAAAACGGTCTTCAAAAACCATGCATATTGGAAGTGTGCAAAGAAATAGGGAGAGTAAGATGCTATACCGAGATAAATAATGAAATAAAACATACTCTTTCAAAGTTATGATAAAATTTGTAGTTACCTATCGCAACACTTTCATCTTTCTAGTGGCAAAAAGGAAAGCTGTTGGGGAATATTGAACAGCATAACTAAAAGAGGACAGATTTGCTTATTACATTGAAAAAATCCTCACACATAAATTTTTACATGACTTCTTTTCCTTTTTGTTGGGTGTTTTGCCACTGCCAAAGTCCTTCTTTCATGTTCAAGGATTTCTGATTATATTTATTTACACACATTTTTCTTTGTCAAGCTACCAGTAAGTTCTACACTCATCTTGAGTATGATGATTTCCATGCATGAGCAAAATCCATGTTCTAAATCATTCCCATGTTTAATTTTTTTTCATTTGTTTGGCTCAAATCAAACGAGAAAAAATCGTTTTCCATTTTTACATCAACATAGGCAGCTACGTTTGTTTCTCCTCCTATAAGTACCTGAAGGAGCTTTCTAGGGAGGTTTTCTTTTTCATTTGGACTCATGGCTTTCCCACTTGAGCAACTGGATGGAGCTAATAAAAATAACTGAAGCGTGAAAGGAATGTCGAGCATTTTGGAACCTTTTCTCTTTTTAGCCAGTCATTTTTTTCCCTGCATCTTCCCGAGACTTTGGTTGTCCTTTTTATGTGCCTCTGCTGACTAAGCAGTAATAAAAAAGAAGGGTGGACAAGTAACAGACTATTTTTTTCCATGAAATGTCTCAATTTTTTAAATTGGAAACCTTTCTGACTGAGATTTTGTAATGAAAATCTTACTTGTTGAAGAATGTGAGAGGAGTTAAGGTAGCAAGCTGCTGCTCTTCTGCACGTGGTCTAGAAATTCCTATCTATCTGGAATATTTGCTGGGCATAGAATTTTGAGTCTAAGCAGAGATGATAAAATTTAAAAAGTGCCTGTACAGAGAGAAGGGTGGGGGGGT